AACCAACAAAATACAGACATTAAATGAGAAGTAAAAAATTCAAAGAATATCTGTCAAGAAAAGATTAGATTCGTTAGGATTTTTAATAACAATATTGAATTATCTGTTTAAATTTACTACCAAATAATATTTATTTATATTTTATTATTAATTTAATATTTCGTCTGATTTTGACAAGTCAGTAAGATGTAAACAACGCATGTTTTGTTAATATGTTAGCACATTCTATCCATGTGTTATGAGCAAACATAATCATTTATTAAACATACAGAAAAGATAGTATGAAGCTTCACGCTAGTCTACAATATCGCCTACTGTACAGATTTGTTTAAATATCAATAGGAGTTGTTTACTGGAGCATTTGAAAGCCTATTTAATTCTCTATTTAATATTATAAACTTTACCATATTTATTCATTAAGGATGAATAAGGGCGATTAAGGATGAAGGAGACTTTCGTAAGGTTTGAGAAGGAAGCAGAGAAGATGGGGCTCCAAATCAACGAAAACAAGACGAAATATATGTATATGAGCCGCAATAACCAAAGCAGAACATTACCATCGATGACTTTAACTTTGAGCGCGTTAGGGAATTCAAGTATCTTGGAACAACAATAACTGAAGACAATAACGGATCACAAGAAATAAACAACAGGATTCAGGCCGGCAACAGATGTATTTTTGCCCTCCAAAACCTTATAAAATCAAAACAACTAACACGACGTACGAAGATACAGGTCTATAAAACAATCATACGACCCGTTGTGATGTATGGAAGCGAAACGTGGACGATGACAAAGGCAAATGAAGAGAGACTACGTGTTTGGGAAAGAAAAATCCTAAGGAAGATCTTTGGTCCGGTGCTTGATGAAACATCAGGACAATATAGGATAAGAACTAATAAAGAGCTTGAAGAACTTTACCCAGACGCCAACATCATAAAAGAAATAAAGTCCAGAATACTCAATGGGCAGGACACCTCAGAAGACATTCTGACGAACGAACAGTAAGACTGGTGTGGCAGGAAGTCCCAACTGGAAGGAGACCACGCGGACGCCCTCGTCTCCGGTGGCGAGATAATATAGCAGGAGACCTAAGCACTATGGGCGTGGAGAATTGGATGGAGGTTGCTAAAGACAGAAAACAGTGGAGGCATGTTGTCGAGTCGGCTAAAACCCACGAAGGGTTGTAACGCCACGGAGTAAGTAAGTAAGTAATATTTATTCATACAAGGATATTCATATGTTAGGTAACAAGAAGTATGTATATAATTTATTAAGTACAAAATATCTTTTGCTGCTATTAGAAAACAGAAAAAATGTTATTAGCCAATAAAAATTGCTTTTTAATCTTATTCTATTTTTTAAATATGTGGTCCAACGATGTAAACATTTGATTTTAAGTAACCCCATAGGAAAAAATCAAGTGGTTTAAGGTCTGAAGATCTTGAGTGCCACTCTGTTGTTCCTTGTCTACCAACCCATCCCCTAGAAAAATATCTGTTTAAAAAATCACGAACAAGAACTGCAAAGTGCGGAGGTGAAAAGTCTGACTGAAACCATATCTTTTGATTTGGCAAATTACAATCATTTTTATTTGGAAAAATGTCTGTAAGGGCAGATATAAGTTTATTAAGTAAAAATTAAAGATATCTTTGTTACTAAAGAGGGGCAAGAAAAAAGAACCTAAAATGTTAACCTCGAATATCCTGCCCAACGTTTCCTTTTTGGGGGTGGTATGTGTGCCTTAATCACCCCATGAAAACTCTCTTTACTCCAATATCTGCAGTTTTGCCTATTCACTATTCCTTCTAAACAGAGCTTGCTTCATTACTGAAAAAAGATTTAAGTATTACAGCGTGGATTTGATTACATAAATCTTATATTACTTTGCAAAACTATATTCGGCAAACTGGATGATCCTCATTGATTTCCTGGACTTTATAAATTTTACTGAGAAGATTTCTCTGCAATTTGCTTTAAATAAATTTGAGGATTCTCTGCCACACTTAATATTACATTAAGGTTTACAATATCATTCATTGGCGGATAACCAGCATTTGCATGTTTTACTAAATAGTTGACTAACAGTGAATTGTGTGATAGGCGTATTAGGATATTCTATATTAAATAAACTACATACTTCTTGTTGTGTTCTGGTTTTATTTTCATATCCAACTATAATTAATACGTGGATTCTTTTTGTTTCCGTTAATGGGGTCATGATTTATTGATTTATTTCACGCAATAAACTGGTCCTTATAAGAATATGCAAAGAACTGCTCCTTATTTATGTGCCTAACATGGGAATTTATTTTTATTTTTTATACCAGTAGAAAGATCAGCAGTACTAAAGATTTGTTTATAAACTAATTTAAGTGTTTTAATGGTGTATATATATATATATATATATATATATATATATATATATATATATATATATATATATATATATATATATATAACACTGTTTTTGATGGGTTGGAGTCAATAAAAGGGGCTATTTGTTGACTATTTTTTACTCGAGCTTTCAATTGTGATTACAATTTTTATCAATAGCTTCTAAAAAATACAAAATATCTTACAAAGTTGAACTAGAAAAATAAAAAATTTTTTGTTAACTCACCAAATAAAATTAGTTTTTTATATAAAACTACTGCTTACATATTAAATACAAAAAATATTAATAAAAAAATGTCTTATTCTAATAAATGTTTCTCTGAAAAATTTTGATGAAGTTTCTTAAGAAAAAAAATTGAATTTGTAAACAAAAATAGAATAGCTACAACCAGCCTAAATGTCATAAATACTAACTTAAAAATTTTATGTTATGTTTATTTTATGTTTAAAAAATTCTTCTTTGTTTAGTAACAAAAAAGAAGAAGATTTATTCACCATTGATAGATGCCCGAAAAAATGTAACAAATACATGTAAAATTCAAAATGTGATATTTCACTGACTGCATATATAAATTAAATAGAAATTATATAATTATAAATTTTGCTTAAATTTTGAATTTCTGACCTTTTGTTTAAATTATTATCACTTTTGCTAATACAAACCATTTCCAAAAAAGTTCTTTTAAATTTATTACTTTCATTACATAAAATTTTAATATTATCAAAATCCATAATATGGTCTTTGTCTATTACATGCTCTGCCAAAGCGCAAAGAGAGCATTATTTTGCAGAGCATGTAATAGACAAAGACCATATTATGGATTTTGATAATATTAAAATTTTATGTAATGAAAGTAATAAATTTAAAAGAACTTTTTTGGAAATGGTTTGTATTAGCAAAAGTGATAATAATTTAAACAAAAGGTCAGAAATTCAAAATTTAAGCAAAATTTATAATTATATAATTTCTATTTAATTTATATATGCAGTCAGTGAAATATCACATTTTGAATTTTACATGTATTTGTTACATTTTTTCGGGCATCTATCAATGGTGAATAAATCTTCTTCTTTTTTGTTACTAAACAAAGAAGAATTTTTTAAACAAAATTTTATTTTTGACAATATGTCAAAAAGTTAGTATTTATGACATTAAGGATGGTTGTAGCTATTCTATTTTTGTTTACAAATTCAATTATTTTTCTTAAGAAACTTCATCAAAATTTTTCAGAGAAACATTTATTAGAATAAGACATTTTTTTTATTAATATTTTTTGTATTTAATATGTAAGCAGTAGTTTTATATAAAAAAACTAATTTTATTTGGTGAGTTAACAAAAAATTTTTTATTTCTAGTTCAACTTTGTAAGATATTTTGTATTTTTTAGAAGCTCTTGATAAAAATTGTAATCACAATTGAAAGCTCGAGTAAAAAATAGTCAACAAATAGCCCCTTTTATTGACTCCAACCCATCAAAAACAGTGTTATATTTTTTCCAAACGAGTCACAAGTACTTCTTTTTTCTTACTCTTATATATATATATATATATATATATATATATATATATATATATATATATATATATATATATATATATATATATATATATATACAGTGTGTCAATTTTAAATTGCTACTGGAAATGGCAGATATGAGAGTACTGAGAAGAATTACAGGAAATGTGCTAAGAGATCTAAAGAGAAGTTAAAGACATTAGAAGAAAATTAAACGTACAGTGTATAAATGAATGAACATAAAATAGAAAAAAATGGAATAACCACATAAGCAGAATGGAAGAGAACTTTGTCGTCAAAATAGCAAGAGGTAAATCACCAATCGGGAGAAGAAGTATCGGACGACCGCGTAAAATATGGAGTAACAACCTTGCCTAGAGGTATTAATCCACCAATGAACAAGCAGAATTTCTTCTAAAGATTAAGGAGTATGGTGCATTTTGCACCATATTTTTCATCATTTTACTTGTTATTCGTTCATATTCTGGTGCCCTCCTGTTGTTTTATTTCTGCAATAGCTTCTTGTAGCCTATTTAAGATTACAATATTATCTTCTATTCTTTGTTTAACAGGTTATTTTCTTTATTACGGGGTTTTTCCCATTAATTTTTTTATTTTCTTCTTGATAGCTGTGCGTTGGTAGTATCTCTTGGAAATATTTTTTCCATCTGTTTATTACTTCATTTTTTTCTGTGAGAAATTCTTCAATTTTTTTCTTTAGGTTTTTTATGTCTTAAATTTTTTCTTTTCTCATTGATTTTAAAACTTCAAAAAACAGTTTCCGATTCTGTTTACTGTTTGTTTTTATGTTTTCGACAAATTCTGTCTATTTGACATTTTTTGCTTTTGTAATAAATCCTTTTACTTATCTTCTGTATTTTTTATATTATTCATAGCTTTTTGGTTTTTTATTTTGTAACTATATTTTCCAACCAATGTTCTTTCTGTTAATTTGTTGTTTTATTTCTTCATTCCATCATGCAGTTTGTTTTCTTTTATTACCCTTCTTACTTGTTCCACACATTTATGTCGCTGTATTTATTATAACCTTTTTGAAGTAGTACTATAGTTGTTTTACGTTTTAACACTATATATTTTCTTTAGTATTTCTTAGCTGTTGATTTTCGGTTATCTGGTTGTTCTCAGTATTTTCTTTAATTCTCAATGTATGTGACCTAATAGGTTCATATTCTTCTTTATTTTCTTGGATTTTGTTAATGTTGTTATTATCTGACTTATTTTGTTTTATTTTCATTACTACTAAATAGTGGTCACTTCCTATTTCTGGACCTCTTCCAACTTTTGTATCTATAACGTTTCTTCTGGTATTTTTTCTACTAACATGTAAATAGTTATCCATTTTATTTTCTTTACTTTTAACTTCAATTGTGCATTAGATATTTTTGTGTTAAAAATGGATTAGTTATGACTAAATTGTGCATCATATAAAAGTCTAGTATTCTATATATATATATATATATATATATATATATATATATATATATATATATATATATATATATATATATATATATATATTTCCTTTTGTTTGTTCCGTGACCAATTCTTCCCAGAATTTATTTTATTTTATTTAAATTCTGAAAAATATGAATGTTTTTGGTAATTTATGCTCAACATTGATGTTCTATCTAAAACCATTTTCAATAGTGTGAATGAGACTATGGACGATGGACAAGACTCAAGACGTCGTGCTTTAGATTGGCGGGCTCGCCATCAATATCTTCTGCTATTGATATGCCGTAGGTGCCCTTTGAACCAATAACATATGTATAAAAAATATGATAATAATTGTGTGCTAACATTTAAAGGAAATTTGATCAACTTATATGTCGAAATCCAATAAAGAGAAACTTCAGTTAATAAAATGCACTTCCCGCTAAAAAATGTGTATCTCTCCCTAGTTCCATTCCTTCTTGTGGAGTATTGGGCGATTATGCGTTTCTTGGCCAAAAGTGTAAGATTGCTGACTGGACAGGTCAGAGCATCTTTTTTATTGTTTATTCTCTAAATAAACTGTGTACTATGGTGAAAATCAGATTTAAATGGCAGTGTACAGTGACTAAGATATGTTCAGATAGGTTAAAAATTCTAATATAATATTCGTGAATGAAATAAATGGTCATAATTGGTCATAATGGTCATATTTTTTGTTAACCACCGCTATTAAATTATATAAACTACATTAATAAATTTAGGTGTATATTTACCTTTATTAAACATTTATTAATAAGTATTTAATGAAAGTGGTTTAAGACAATACTCCAGAAATACAATTTTCAATTATTTTCATTTTCATTTAGTCTATCTTCCGAGTCATCCTTAAATAAAATTGTAATAGGTTCAATGTCATCTTGTAAGTTGTCTAGTGTCCAAAAATTATTCTCATGAGCACTGTACAGACATTTTTTTCTAGATAATACTAGAAGTTCTTCAACTTTGCAGTAAATTAAAAAATCATTTTCTTGTTAATGATCCCAATTCTAAACGAGCCTTTAAATTACAACGTCAGCAGCAGAATGCATGTCAGGATATCGATAACATTGTCAGAAAAGGAAGAGCTGCACAGAACAAAATTGAAGTTTGTGAAAATTCATCGCCTTTACCGAAAATATCTATTACATGGACAGTTTCTTCTGACAATGAAGATAATTATAAGCTACTTCATAAACAATGAAACAAAAACGCAAAACAAAAGTTTTGAAACAAGTTCTTTTAAGCTTTTGTATGAATTTCTTTCATCTATTCGAAGTATTTTATCATGCAGCCTATTTATTTTAATTTCTGCAAACTTTTTTGTTTTTGTCTTGATTTTAGAAGACTATGGAACGTACTTCTGAAGCTATTTTCTTGTGACTTTTAAAGTAATTACTATTTAAATGGGATTAGGCCACAATTAACGGTTCAAGTACATTTATTGGCATTTCAATTTCCACTTCGGAAATCCTTCTCAAAATACTAACATTAGTAAATTAAACAAATTTTGGTTTTTTGTTACTTGGTGAAAAAATGCTTTTAATAATTTAATTTTATCTGACTCATTTATATTGACAATTCAGACATACATGACCTATACATTTTAAAGTAGACGACTTTAAAATGATATTTCCAATATTGTTGTGTTGTGTTCCTAGGACGACTTTACTTTTAAGATAGTTCATTCGATTACTTGAAATCAACTTTAACTTGAGATTATTCGTCAGAAAAAATCATAGCATGTAATTAGTCTTTAAAAAGATTCTTTGGCCTAGCAATGGCCTCTAGTTTATCTCGATTATTAGCCGATATATTTATTAGATAAGATTTTGAAACTAATATTATTTTTAAACAAAATTTAAAACCCACAGTATGGTGGAGATATGTAGATGATTTATTCTCAATATGGACTCATGGATTAGAGTTGTTGAACACATTCCTGAATAATATAATCGATAAAGAAGAGACAATAAAATTTACCATAGATAAGGAATGTAATAACACACTACCTTTCCTAGATGTTTTAATCGCTAAGAACGATACTGGATATGAGACTTAGGTGTATGGAAAACCAACAGACACCAACATATACAGTAAAACCTCCGTTAACCGAAATAATGGGGGGGGGAGGCCGTTTCTGATAACAAGAATTTCGGTTAAAAATAACATTGTTTTTTATAGTATTCTTGGTTAAAGTATTGTTATTAAATAATACTATGAGGTGATTTTGTAATGTTTTCTAATAAGTAAATACAGAATAAAATAGTACAATTAAGGAAAATAAACAAGTTTAACAAGTTTTTTAAAGAAATCTTCTATTTTCTTTTACGTTATCGTTTGACAACGATGTTTTGCAGCTATATATCTCCATCGTTCATTTGCAGAACGTCGTGAGTTTGCCTCATTTCATCATTCGACGAAACGTAAAGCAATCTGAACAGGACAAAACTATACAATGATAACAAAAATTAAGAACCTAGTCGTCTCTCTAATATATTAACCCTACTGTATAAAATTCATCTCCTTAAAGCATTGAAAATCTCGTCGGCGGTCTCATGCTGCCTGTTGTCTGTTGGGTCGTCATCTTCGTCGTCTGATACGCTCAGGTTGTCTGGATGAGGAACCATATCAATGATATCCTGGTCGATGAATTCACTTTCTAAATCATCGGCTGCTAATCACTCACGTATCTTTTTCTTATTAAAGATTTAATTTCTTCTGTCATTTCTTTGCCATTTTCTTCTTCAGGGTCGCCAATTAAAAACTCTATCAAAAAGTTAGTTCCAGCATTTTTCCAAAGTTGAAGATTTGATCTTGGCCCAGAACTCAGCACACCGATAAACAACATGTTTCATTGTTAAACATTTGAGGATTTCAGGAACACTTTTGGATTCATTTGTCTCCTGTAATAATAGATGTCTTAAGAATGCTCCTCTATAATGTCTCTCAAGTGTCTCTATTAGTCCCTGGTCTAACAGCTGAATTAATCTCGTGACAGTCGATGGCAAAAATCTGACAATTATCACTATTATATAGATTTTGAGTCAACAAGCAACAATGCTTTGATGGGAAGGTTTTTTTATTTTAAAAAAGATTTTACGTTTGGGACGAATTCATTGTCGAACCATTCTGAAAATAAAGTGGTCGACATTCATGAGCTTTTTTGGCTTCTATAAAAAACTGGAAGTGCTTTTTCTCAAATATCTTTTAGAGCTCTTGGTTTTTTGATTTTCCAACACACATACGCATCAATCGGTAAGTGAAATTGATGGAATTTACATTTTGCGATAAAAATTTACTTTTTGTTGACGAAATTATTGAAACTGTCAGCCGTTTCGGGTAAACGATGATTCGGTTAAAAAGGTTTCGGTTAAGGGAGGTTTTACTGTATTTAAAATTCAAATCAAATCATAATATTTATATTAAAAAGAAAATCATGAAATCCTTATACGATAGAGCCAAAATTGCTTATTGTTCGAAAATTTTTTCTGGGAAGAAAAACGTTTGTTAACATCTGTTAAAAAAATGATTATCCTTTATCGTTTATAAAAATGTTTCAACAACCGATCGAATAGAACATAACAACTTAGAATGAGATCCTACAGCATACACAAGGAATATTACGAGGAGAATAACAATGCCATACACAAAACAATTATCAGAAAACCTTAAAAGAATAGGAAATAAATGCAACATTTCAACAACATTCATGACAACAAACACATTGAAATCTATTTTGTCTAAAACCAAATCTAACAATGAACAAGAAAGGACAAAGAATTGTATTTATAAAATACCTTGGAATGCGATCAGTTTTATTTAGGTGAAACATCAAGACCATTAAATGTTAGAATAAGTGAACATCAATCTTATATAAAAATTAGATTAGAGAATTCTCTATTAATAGAGAATTTAATAGATCTCAAATATGTAAATACGCATGGGATAATGAGCATAGGGTTCAATGAAATGATTCAAATATAGTCCTAAAAGAAACGGATGGTAAAAATGAAAAATCAAAAAGCGGCTCTAATTATGCTAAATGAGACCAATTGTGTCGCAAATTCCTCTGCAGAATGTAGTAGCATAAAACGAGACCTTATTGTCAATATAAGTCATGTCAAGTTCAGTACCTTTAGTAATGCACTTCCAGCATATCATAAAATATTAATGACACTGATAAAAATGTGTATAAAATTATTTAAAATACAGTGACGATAGCTTAATATAGACGTCAACGTGTCTGCGTATGAGGTGCGTAATATCAGCAGTCATATCCTGGAACATCCGCCAAAAATTAGACTATTTAAATTTATATCCTTTGCAAGTATACTTCACTCGTTATATAAATTTAGGTTGCAGACAACATTAAAAAACTTAAGAAATACAATTTTAAAAATAATATATTTTATTGTTACAGCAATAAATTTTGTTATTGTAATAGCGATGAATAGTTTGTATGATTGCAACTATTTTCAGTTAGCTGTTAAAGATTTTGGGCTCAGGAATATGCTGTGTATACAGGGTGTTTCATTATGGCAAATAAAATAACAGTTTATAATAACAGAAGTTTCTCTGCTTCAAAATAATGAATTTCCAACAAAAACCGCTTGTAATAAATGTTGCTTCTTTTCGAAATACAGGATGTTAAAGTTGAAAATTACACTCAGACATAGGAGGACATATAAAATATAATAAATAAAGAAACTCTACAAACATTATTAGCGAAGAGCAGTGGCGAATGCAGGGGGGGACCTTTTCCGACACTGTTAATTTTTAATTAACAGTATTGTTAATATTGTATTGTTAATTTTTAAGGACGTAAAATGGTGAAGGTAGCATGCCTATTATTTTTGAAGCTCATAA